GCCTCATTCCTATTTTATTATAATGGTTATAGCTGCGGCTATAACATCCCTCCCCCGTTAGTTAGAAAAACAGTATGGGGTTAATACAATGGACTGTTTTTCTTTTTACAAATATTTATAATTTTTCATGCCCGATAACATTATAATTATAATAGTTTGCTTAATTATATTCGGCGTTGTCTATTTTTACATTTTTGTATAACTATGTAGGCTATTATTCCTAACAAGCCTAAAACTATTATTCCATTTATTGCTATAGTGTATACAAATTGTTTTTGTTGATAGAAAGGTATTCGATTTTGTTCTAAATTATTATTTATTTTTCTAATTTGGACGCCTAAGTCCCTTAACTCTGCGGGGTTTCGGAGAATTTGTTTTAATTTTATTCGATCGATACTATTTTCTATCGGCACTTGGTCGCGTAATAATTTTATGTTAACTTGAGGCAAATATGTTTTTATAACTTTTGTTTTTACGTTTGATTATGATTTTATTATTACGTCGTTCGTAATTAATTTACAATTATTTTGTAACGTAATTGTGCCTGTATTTGTTATAATTTCATTAACTTCCTGTAAGTCTTCGCACTTAATAGTGACGGTTTCCTTATCTGCTACGGAGTATATCCATACATTTCTTAATTTAGTCCACAACGTATGTGGCGAGGTGATAAATATATTTTCACAATTGTCGTAATGATTGTCTTTGTTTAAATACATTTGTACTTCGCAAATGGAATTTTTATTTATTCGCTTTACAATATAATTTCGCTCGCATAAGTAGTCTGAATTTATTTTTATGCATTCACGCTCGTCTTTTTCTGTCAACGTGATGTATGTATGTCTGTCCGTGTCTATGGCTATTTGCTCATTATTTACTTTTACCGCTACGAATATACCATCGTGGTCGTACACCGGTTCAGACGTTACGTGTATCAATTCGTATGTTGGTGACGTTGTCAAAGGGAATCGCAAAATTGTATATATATTATTATGGTTATAATACGCATTTATCTTGGTAATTTTGTTTATTATTATCTATTCTGCAATGTTTAAGTTAAACGGGAATTACAAGCTTTTTGGTAATCCCGTAATGGCTTCTTTCAAATTTACGATAATGTCCTCAATCGGTATTACTTTAGGATGTAAAATTCCTTCTTTAATGTAATTAATGTAGTCGATCGTTTCTGTTGCGTCCCTCAGTAGATCGTCTGTTAATGCGGTCAGAAGGGTAAAGTGTTCGTCTAGGTCATGTCTTCGACTAAACGAGTATCCTTGTTCTTTAAGTTTATCTATGTAAAATGTTAGCGTATTTTGATTTTCTTGCAATGTTCGTTCTAGATTATCTATGTGCGCTATGGTTGAATTTATTACTTTCAATTGATTTCCGCATGTTTAACTACAGCATTTTCGTCGTGTACTATGATTAGCTGCTCTCTAATAATTCTGTCGTCATCAGTATCCATAGTGCTAAATAATGACTTTGCGATTGAGCCTATTGCATCTATTAGGCCCCTTTTTTTATTAGGTGCCGTTTTATACACAGTTTTTATTTTTTCTACTAACTGTTGTGTTTCATTATACTCTTTTTCGAGCACTGTATACAAATTTTCGCAAGATCCTTTACCTGCTAATAATATCTGGCATAATTGCTTCGTCCGCAATATGTCTTCTTGTAATTGATTTGCTCTCTTCTCCAATGATGTGGTATCCGTTTTTATCACTAGTTTCCAGTATCCTTCGATGGGTAACAATTTTCCGATTTCTTCGAAATAAATCCCAGGATTGTGGT